TCATGTTATAAAGACAAATACAATTACTATTTTATTTCATCAAACTATCCGTTTTCCACAAAACCTAACTTTTAAAACTAACGGTAACATCATCATGTGTTAAATTTAAAATTGTCTAATTACCAAAACTAATTCTAAAACGTTAATAATGCAATCAAAATACAATAAGAAAATTTACATTAACATCTACGTTACATATTTGAAATTCAAAAAATTTGCAATTGCACACGTCATATCGCCGCTAACGTCTCGCTCACACCTGCAGCAAATGATATGCGGCCGTCCCGCTCGCACTTGCACTTTGCCCGATTACACTATGCGTTGATCTACCGTTATTTATCCTAACTTATACAAACTGAAATATCGAATGGCAAATTATGAAATTATGAATGCAAACACAAAAATATATAAAATTTACATCACCGAGATATACAATACAAAAGAAAAAAATACAAACACTCCCGAATCTTACAGTCCCTATATCACCCGCGTGTACACTTCGCACGATTTAACACATGACGATTGCGGGACGAACCTCCTCGTAAAACCCGCAGGCACCTCTGCCGCCGCCACTTCACGGACCTCTTGTCCATTCTCCCGGCCGGCCCCGGCCCTGAATATCTTCCGGACATACACATGCCCCAAACACCCGTGTGCTTTTAATATCGCACACGTAGACTGCGGGATTCACCTCACCGCAGCACCTGCACGCGCTCCGCTTCCGCCGCAGCACCGGCCTTCTGCCCACCGCTGCTGCCTGCCCGCGCGCAGTCCGAGTCCCTGCGCCGGCGCCGCTTGCTAACCGCTGCTCCCGGCTGCCTCCGCACTGCGCCCAGCCGCCGTCGACACTATCGCCGCCTGTCCTACCGCCCTTTTTGCGGTCGCCCATGTCCATCTCCTCATGCATGGTTACGCTGGCACACCCCTGGTATTTCGGACGTCGTATGCACACAATCCGCACAACCACAGCGCACAAAACGTTGGTAGTACGTCCACCTCGCGAAAAATTGTTCGGGGTCCACTATTCAAAAAAAAAAAATATGTGTAATTTAGTCACTGAATTATTGTATTAACAAAAACATAGTAACTATGTACATACGCCAATCAATAAATATGCACTTTTACGGTTTTTGGGCTACATTAGTATGGGCGCCGGAAAAATACACACAAAATTTAAATGACATCTAAAAGAACACATCCTCTTTAGCTACATTTCTGTAGTACATACTATGGGGTAGAAATGCACAGAAAAAAAAATTAAAATACTTACGAGATCTAAATGAGCACCTACGGTTTTTTGGCTAAGTCAGTATGGACGCCGGAAAAAGGCGGAATATTTTTCAATGGAATCCAGAAGAACACATTCTAACATTTCGGTAGTACATACTATGGGGTAGAAATACGTAGAACATAAGCTAAAATGCTTGTTTACAACAAGATTGTGCCAAGGCACCTAACACAAGTTTCGATACTCTGTGAAAACGTAAAACATACACAAAAACACATAATTTGTGAATCTAAATATAATACATGTCATGACGAAATAATAGCTATCAAGATTTACTACATAATTAACTTTTTTAGTGGAATAATACTCTGTTTAAAGTTATCACATTTTCTCGACCAAACCGATGTTCAATAATGACTACTTTTACTACGACTATTATGACTAAACCATACATTGAATATTTTTTTTATTTACAAATCTAAATGTGCTATATATTTTTAAAAGTTTATAATACTTCAATTTTGGCCAAACTCTTCGTACAACGTGAAACACTGTGCGACGGTGTCCATAGACATCTGTAATAACGGATCCGATGCCTTCTCTTAATCGACGGAGACGCACATAAGGAGAATATTTCCGCTTCCGATGGCTCAGTGGTTTAAGCACTTGACTTGTAATCTACAGGTCTTGGGTTCGAATCCCGCTGTAACAGTGTGATTTTCGATTTTTCGAATTTTCATATGTACATAATTTACCCGACGTTCTTACGGTGAAGGAAAAAATTGTGATGCCTGCACATATCAGCGAAGAAATTCAAAGATATGTGTGAAGTCAACCAACCCGCAGCCGGCAGCATGATTGACTATGGCCTAGTCACTCCTTATTGAGGTAGGTTCCGAGCCCCTCAGTAGGAACCTATAGTAAGCTGGTGATGAATTATTTTTGTAGTTCATTTCTGTTCTTTTCCATTTAAATCCCAATGTTATAAAATTAATATCATCTTGTTGTTTCTTTGCGACATACTAATGGTAGGTAATTATTATTATTTAACCTATAGTTTTGAAAAACTGTTTAGAGTTAACATCGGAAGTAGGGTTTAAATGAAACAAATGTTTATCGTTTGATGTATATTTATTATAGTGTGTGCGGCGTGCGCGGCGGCGCGGCCAGCCAGCGCGCCGTGAGCGCGTGCAGGCGGGCGGAGCGCCGCGCGCCGGCGCAGACCTCGCGCGCGCCCGCGCTCACCACGCGCCCGGAACTGGAATACATAACAATATTACATACAGCTATATTTAATAACTACCTGTTGCTTGTGACTTCGTCCGCGAGAAAATTTATTTAAAATATTGGAAGTGCGAAAGTTTAGATAGATGGATGGATGTTTGTTAGAGTTTGTAGCCTAAACGGCTGAACGGATTTCAATGAAATTTGGAACAGATGTAGAGGATAGCCTGGAAGAACACATAGGCTACTCGCTTTTATTTATTTTTTTATTCCACGCGGTCAGAGTCGCGGGCGACAGCTATAAATGAATTTTTGAATTCGGCACAGTAGTTTGTACGTAAATCGAATACATACAAAAATACAAATCTTTCTTCTTTATATTGTAATAACTCAAACTTCTGGGCCGATTTAAATAATTCTTTCACCATTAAAAGCTACGTTATCAGTAACATATTTTTTTTTGTTTCACGCGGGCGAAATATCGAGCAACAGCTAGTATATAAGCTTCCTTAAAAATATCCTAAAAACAGACAACTCTGATGAATGTGGTGCTGAAGGCTTAATTTAAGTCCCTTTCCTTTTCCAACATTTTCTCATATGGAAGGGATGGAAAGTGGATTTGACGGCGGTGATGCGTAGGAAGGGGACACATTCTAATTATGTGCGTCTCCTCCGTCGATAAGTCGACGAATTTAGGTGGTCTTTCGCTTGTTTGCAACCTTCTAATATTTAAACGGTGTAAATACTCACCCTGACCAGACGTGTGCGAGTGTGGGGGTGTCGGGGGTGTCGGGGGTGTCGGGGGTGTCGGGGGCGAGGGCGGCGGCGCGCGCGGCCCGCACCAGCTCCTCGGCCAGGCTGCGCGCCGCGCTCGCCAGCACCGAGTGCACTGCGCTGAACACATTGTACATATCTACACAACTAATTCAAATAAATGCCTACAACACCCTTCATACTTTGTGAAATCACAGCTCAAAGAAACATAATAAAGCATTTTTTGCCTTACAACAACGGAATTAACTCCTTTGAGAATGGCTCCGATAATCTCTTTCAAAATAGATTCAATAAACAAGATATCGTTGTTGAAGTTCTAACACCATACAAGGCGCTATTTTGACATTTTAATGCCATTTGTTAGAGAATCGGAAGACGCATCGTTTCATCAGAAACATGTATTCTACGTATACAAATATTATAAAGAGGAAAGATTTGTATATTTGTATGTATGAAATAACTCAAAAACCACTGGATCGATTTTTAAACATCTTTTACAGTTAGAAAGGGAATTTATCAGCTATGTTTTTTTTTTTAATTCCACGTAAACGAAGTCTCCAACAGCTATTTAAATATAGCTATAATTAAGTATACACAAACAGTGTATTTATATAGAATCTTTACAAAATTATCGAGTTTTTTCTCTCTTGAAAATTTGCTATTTTCAACATATTTGGTGTTAGAACTTCAACAATATCTCAGCGATTCAAAACATGCATCTAACTAACCTGTAAGAGTATCCATTCCCCACATCTTCATTCCGCAGTTCGATACCAATGTCCGCACACTTCTTCTCAACAAAGAGGAACCTGAGCCTGTCCTCCGCACTCTCCACGGGGAGCACTTCCAAACTAGTCTCCGGAATCACTTCACTTTTCACTTTCACTTTACTATCACAATTCACTATATCTATTTCTTCATCAGATTCCGATATAACAGACTCCGATAAGGAACTATTCGCGAATTCATCACCATTAAATATAGTTAATGAATTAAAATCCCAGTTCGAAGAACTATCCGGCATGGTGTCGCTGTGCTGGGAGTCTGTGAGGTTCCATGAGGTCCACCAGTCCTGGCTGGTGCGCTCCGGGATGCTCTCACTCCTCACAGGGTGGTAGCCGTGCAGTCTGGAGTAGATCAGGATCTGTTTAGTCTGCCAGATCTGATCATCCGTCACAAGGTACTGTACCATTATTTTGTTGATTAACTTTGCTCTCGACCACTAAAATAAAAATATATATATGAAACTATGTTAAGTGGAAAATATTATTGAGAATATTAATAACTAGCTTTCTCCCGCAACTCCGTCCGCGTGGAATTTAAAGAAAACAAAACTGAGTAGCCTCTGTGTTCTTCCAGACTATCCTCTACGTTTATGCCAAATTTCATTGAAATCCGTTCAACCGTTTAGGCTGCAAAGTCTAACAAACATCCATCTAAACATTCGCATTTATAATATTAGCATGAAGTATAAGAATGTTTATAATTTTATTGCTTTCAATCTATTTACAAGTTAAATTCAAACTGTCATTACTAAACATCTGTAGTGAGTAAAAATTTTAAATTATGAACTAAATAAATTTTAAGAACATAATAAAAAAGTGAGGAAATAAATCTTACTTCTATATTTCTTCTCTTAGCAAAATCCAATTTCCAATATTTATCTTCACTTTCAACAACAAATGGAAAATATTTCACGAATTCTGGATCTTTTGCTTTAACTGTGATGAGTGGGATCTTCTTCAGGAGGTAGCTGACGGCCATCCTGATGCAGGGGAACCTGAGCACAGCGGCACACACCTCATCATACAAGTTACGATCACTCTCCACACTAACATGTTCTATTTGCATTTCTTTAACACTATGCGATGATTTCACATAACAATGATCATTCTCTATATGAGAAAAATTCACACTGTCCTTAACTGTATCACTTGTTAAGTTATTTTTATTTTTCCGCACATATTTCAAACCATTTGACTTGATCGGACTGATTTTCGCCTTTTTAACATTACCCTGTGAATTAATAACTATCTCTTGCACTTTAGATAGATCTAATTCTCTATCCATTTCTAAATAATATATTTTCTTCGTTGTTGGATCCATGTATTTCATTATTCGCTTTTTAAAGCATTCCGGATCCTTCAATATTTCTTTTGGCAATTCATCGGTGGGTTCTATTTTAACTTCTACGTTTGATTCCTTCGTTAATTGATCGTATAAAATTGATTTCTGAGTATCAGGTTCAATTTTTATTTTATCTTTTAATACTAAAGTGGAATTATCTTCTAGATTTTCATAATCCATTGCTTCTTTTTTAACATCTTCCTTTTTTATCAACATTTCGTCTACATTTAATTCGGTGCTGTCTTTTGAGAAGAATTCTAACCAACTGTCGTTTAATTTTTCTGAATTTGTATCATTGGTTTTATCATCTGCTGAATTGGTGGGGGCCTTGTTATCTTCAGTACACAGATCGCTGGGCTCTTTCTTGTCGTTGTTGTCTTGTGGTAAGTTTGCAGGAATGTCATCTTTGTATTCATGCTCCAACATTTCAGGTGTACTGTACAACCACACGTCCACAACTGTTTCTGCACCTGAAATACAAAGTTAATGTGTGTTAGTTACATTAACATGGTTTTGTGTTTTGTTAGTGTTTAGTTGTATAATGTCGTTATTTAGTTGGTTATGTCGGTGTTTAGTTGGTTATGTCGGTGTTTAGTCGGTTATGTCGGTGTTTAGTCGGTTATGTCGGTGTTTAGTTGGTTATGTCGGTGTTTAGTTGGTTATGTCGGTGTTTAGTCGGTTATGTCGGTGTTTAGTCGGTTATGTCGGTGTTTAGTCGGTTATGTCGGTGTTTAGTTGGTTATGTCGGTGTTTAGTTGTGTAATGTTGCCGTTTAGTTGTGTAATGTTGCCGTTTAGTTGTGTAATGTTGCCGTTTAGTTGTTTTATGTTGTGTTGTGTTTATGTGACAGTTACCGAGTGTCTGCAGGCCGGTGCGGTGCCTGTCGAGGCGGATGGTGTGGTCGAGGGCCGCGGGCGGGTTGCGCGCGGGCAGCGCAAAGTGCAACTCTACACGCGCCGGGAACTCGCCCCAGCCGCGCCGCGACACCTGGAACGGTGGCTTACTGCCCAAAACAAACTCATAAATAACAACAAAATACTCCAGAAGTCATAGTTTAATAGTTAGTAAACAATTTATGCTTGATTTCTGAAGTTCCCACATATTTTGCCAATAAGTAGCAACTCCTAAGTATTTTGTTAGAAGTCTGCCTAGAGAACTGGTGGCGAACTTTTATACATCAAAGTGACATTTTTATGAAGAAATGTTTAATGCAGTCTTAGACGTGCCATCAAATAATTTTGACTGATTATTTCAATTCCATGGTGCATGGTAGTGACTTCGCTTTTTATATAATACTTACTTTACACCTTTTTGTTGTGTTTTTATGATCATCGACGCGCCAAAATTTATGTATCATGTGCTATTTATGACACGTGAGCTAGTGATTTGCCGAGATTTAGAGAAGGTATGTGCAACCTTTGACATATAGGCCAAACATTAGCCTGCAAATACGTTCGCGGGCCGCAATATCAAAGGATTTGATGTTTGTCGCCTCATTGTCACTCCCTGAGTACCTAATGTGTTTTTAATGGGTTTTTTAAATGTCTTGCATGTCGGATCATATCTTACAGCGAGGGGGTGCGGCCCGCGGGCCGGATTTTGCCCATATGATGTAGACTTGTGGTGATGTATGCAAGCTGTGTGGGATTATTTCCAACCGTCACCCCACTCTGTTCCCACGTGGAGACAGATGAGAATAGAAAGTTTCATCCGTCCTACCTTTTGCGAAGAGGGGGTTTGTTGGAACTTATTTTAGAACGGTTCTGTCACCTTATTGGTGTTGGTGGGACAACCGGTGGGACGGATGAAACCGGTGGGGGCAGAGCTGGGTGAGGCGGGGTGAGCGCAGTACTGACTCGATGCGCACGAGGTGGTGCGGCGCGTAAGAGTGGTGCAGGCGCAGGGCGACGGCGCGCAGCACGGCGGCGGCGCCGCGCACGTACAGCAGCCACGTGTGCGTGGAGCGGTCCGCGGAGGACGCGCCCGGCGCCCACTTCGACGTGTTACCTTACATACCACTTATATCTCAACTATATATCTTACTGATCTGTCATAGGGTCCCGCCCACACTGAATGATTGGTATATTGTGGTTCGATTTCAAATATATCTTTGAATTTGCAGATATATGTTACTGTAACAAGGTTGGCTACATATGAAATTCATAAACAAAATATATAATCTTATTCATTTTACTAATAAATGCGAAAGTTTGGATGGATGGATGTTAGAGTTTGTAACCTAAACTGCTGATCAGATCTAGATGAAATTTGGAATAAATGTAGAGCATAGTCTAGACACATAGGCTACTTACTTTGTTTTTTTTTAATTCTGTGTGGACGGAGTCGCGAGCGAAAGCTAGTTACAAATAATAAATACCTACACACAGAGGAATCATAATAAATTCAGTAATTTACAGAAGTAACAATTGTATTTTAAATACAAATACCATATGTGCCTAAAACAGATCTTACTAATTTTACTAATATTATGAATGCAAAAATTTTAGATGGATGGATGTTAGAGTTTGTAGCCTAAACGGCTGAACAGATTTCGATGAAATTTGGAATAGATGTAGAGAATAGTCTGGTATTACACATAGGCTACGTACTTTTTTTTTTAATGACACGCGAACGGAGTTGCGGGCGAAACCTAGTTAGTGATAATTTAAAATTAATAAAAAAAAAGATATAATACCTATAATAATTCGGTACCGGTGTTTCACCTGGTTCCTGGTGGCTTCTACCAGGGTCACCACATTCTCCACCTTCGGCTCCAGACGTCGGGGTATTTTCTTAGGTTTATCTGTTTCCACTTCATCAGGGAGAGGATTCTCCTCGGGTGGTATTTGTGACTCTGGTCGAAGTGACTTTGTGGAATCCGCCGCTACCGTGTAGTTACGACAATGTACCATAGCCTGAAAATAAAACAAATATGATGTATAGTTTTTTACATATCTAACCTGTTCGGACATCAAGATCATTAGAATTAATGCACAGAACACAATATTGGAAGTAGACACTGGGAAGAGTCCCATGCTATGCACATCTCTTGAGTTTTTGTCCTTGGTCAACCAGCAAGATATATGTAAGAAAATTATACTTTTATTTAAAAATTTCAGACTTTTTAATAAAAATTAGACAACATCTATACTAATATTATGAAGAGGAATGACTTGCATATTTATGTATTGAAATAACTCAAAAACTACTGGGCCTGTTATGAGTGAGTAACATAACCTATATTTTTTAATCTTTTGTCTTGTATTCGCAAGCAACAGTTAGTAATAAATAAAGACAGTATACCGAGTAATTCTTCTTGGCCTTGTTCCTAGGCTCCCTGATCTTCATAATCTCCTCCAAGTCCACAGTTTTCTTGCCTAGCAGCTTTCGTAAAGAGGGGTGGATCCTACGCTGACTATCTCTTAGCAGGGTTGTCACCTGACACAAAATTTGTAAACACTGTTTTGTAAATTCTATTATACTTTAGTTTATCTTTATTCACTTCTGTTTATATAATTAAATTATAACTGCAAAATAAATGTAGAACTCATCTGTTTATTTATCAACTTGGTATTATTAAGTTACTAGTGAAATTTACAAAAATTGTTAATTTAACAACCTCTGTCCTGGTGCGAGGTTCGTTCTGTGCGAGCGCCTCATCCTGCAGGTTGTTCGGGGTGAGCTGCAACTTCTGGTCCTTGTAATAGCGCAGCACCAGCTGGTACCTTAGCTCACATAGTATCCGACGTGCTTTTTGCATTCTGTAACATTGATTTTATAGATCTTTTCAAGGATCTGATTGCTAAATAAAGTTACTTATAGATTTAAATTTAATTAATTGGAATCTGACCAAGGAATATCTTTCAATAAGATTAGATGTCTAATGATGAATGGTTCTCTAAGTTACTGAGGTAAATGCTATTTACAATGTTTTGGGAAATGTGTCCACATTGTATGTCGAACATGCAAGATGCATTTAGTATTTCTCATAGAGTTTGTTTACAGGACAATCGCTTAAGTTTAGATTTCAACCCAGTACAGTGCCAGGTTCTTTTGAACAGGTGCCATCAAATTTGTTTGTTATGATTGTAAAATTCATAGAATATTTAATATTAAAATTACTCTTCTATTCTTTTATGTGATGATTGCAAACTTACCGTTGATTTGCGAGCATGACGTCATTTTCTCTTAATTCTAGCTCATTACCAAACTCTCTTAGTATTATGTTTTTGATTTTGTCTATTTGTTCCTTTTCTGTTAAATTTGAGGAACCTTCCTGAGTGGATATTGAAGCTTCAGGGTAATCTGGATCATGGTATTCTTCTTTACTTTCCATTATAAACAAATTTAAATTATAAAAATACAAACGCCTTTACAATAACAAGTTTTTACGTATTATAAATTATCACATATATATCACGTCACACTATTCGCGCGAAAGTGGTTAGTAAACATTATTGTTAATAACACATGGTCGAAGATTTCTCTTAACATTACCATGCATTAATTTTAAACCAATTTTATACTTTTAACCAAATTTCCGCATTTTGACATAGTAAGGTCAATAACCGATCCGACTCATTGGGGTGGGTTTTTAATTACGTTCGAATAAACGTAATAAAACAATAGCAGTTTTTAGCAATCTTGCAAAAAACGTGCAAAATATTGATACAATGCCGGTTTTGTGTAACGGTCGATTCCACATTTTCTTAATATATGGATTTGAGAAATTTTAGACATAAACTTAATTTATTTGGATGATATTTACAAATAATGTAATGGAAATTAAGCAAAAAAATGATGAAAATGCTTTATAAATGCATGAAATGAAAAATCAAAAAAATCATGTAATTTGACAATTTGTTGACATCAATAAATTTTTGACAACTGGCAATATTTCCCAACTGTCTTACGAAGCACTCGCTGACGTCCTTTCTCTCGAACAAAAACAAAAGGTTTTTCCACGACGAAATCGTCTCGCATATTCCGTGCGCGGAGAAACAGCAGCGTGGATCGTGATGTGAGGGCTTGCGGCGACGAGCGCGCGCCTATGTCCGATTCACAGGCGAACGGCCCCGAGGCCAACGGCATGTTAGAACAACGACGTCCGTTTTTCTATCCCGACAGTAGTAGCGACACAGAAGAGTATCGCAGGGACACGGAGGAGCGTCGCAAACGTCTATCGAAGCGCAACGGCCCGTGTATCCGTGGCAGAATGCCTCCGAAGAATCAGAGCCCTAGCGTGCCTACGCCGTCGACGTCCACACAGGAGCCGCCTCGGAATGGCCAGAAGAACCAGCTGATGGACGACAGAATCACCCTGGTGGTGGACAACACTAGATTCGTAGTCGACCCCGCTCAGTTTACAGCCCATCCTAACACCATGCTTGGAAGAATGTTCAGTTCTGGTAAGTTATTATTGACCTACTCTGATCTCTGTCAATTTTATCACTTTTAAAACTTGCCAACAACCAAGGCATGTGTGCTGTATGTTTATATTACAGTTTAATTACCATGAACCAACATTGTTTTGAGTCATTATTCAAAGAATGAGATTTTACTGGTAATGAGTCACTAAAACATGTTCTTTGTGAGGTATATATGTATGGTGCAATTCATTGTCTTATGAACATGCTTTATCAATAGTGTATACAGTTTGTCATAAAAATGATACATCAAATGGCTTCACTATCATACTACTAAGTGTGAAAGTTTGGATGGATGTTTGTTGCTACTTATTATTAAAATGGCAGATATAGAACATAGTCTGGAAGAAAACATAGTCATGGGTTAAAGCTTCTTATAATGAATCTATTATTATCTAGATGTGTGTAATTCTGCAAATATTAAATAAGCATATTGTTTCTTCTAGGAATTGAATTCACTCATCCGAATGAGAGAGGGGAATATGAAGTGGCAGAAGGCATATCAGCGACAGTGTTCAGAGCTATCCTGGAGTACTACCGCGGTGGGACCATCAGGTGCCCTCCCACAGTCTCTGTGCAGGAGTTGCGGGAAGCCTGTGACTATTTGCTGGTGCCCTTTGATGCTAACACAGTTAGATGCCAGGTAAGTCAGTTTTACAAAATATATATTATAGCTGTTGCTAGAGACTTTGTCATTGAAATTAAAAAAAAATATAGCTTATATTACTCACAGAAAAATTAGTTTTATAACTGTGAAAATTTTTTAATCAACCCAGTAGTTTTAGAGTTAATAACATGGGTTAATTCTTAACTTTAATAAAGTGGGTTACTTCTTAACTTAACATTTTAAAATATGTGCATACAAAAGTATTGTAAAATTCCATATTGAATTTATATATATTTTGCAAATCTTTGCTAATTCAGTTACATAACTATTATTCATAAATTGACATAACAAATTATACAGTTTGTTCTTAACAAATAGACATGATATTCTCAAGGTAACAAGTAAATCAAATTTGCAGATTATTTTCTGTTTGTTTTATTATTTTCTCTGCTTATCATTGTGTTAATATTGGACCAGAAATATCAATAGTAACATATAAAATATATACATAATACTTCATACTAATGTTATAAATGTGAAAGTTTGAATGGATGGATATTTGTTATGGCATATATCTAAAATAGCTTAAAGGATCTTGATTAAATTTGACATAAATGTAGAATAACTTATAGTATTTACTTAGTTTTTTTTCTTTTAATTTCCTTCATATGGTTCTGAGAAAAAGATAGATAATAAAATTAAATATAATTAAACTTTACTTTGAGATAATATTTTGTATAAACCCTTAATGGTTATAAATGTTCAGTATCACAGATTTCTGTTTACCCTAATAAGGTTGCAATATCTTGAATGTATAATTTACTAGCTTTCGCTCGCGACTCTGTTCGCTTGGAATTAATAAAAAAAAAGTAAGTAGCTTATGTGTTCTTCCAGACTATCCTCTGCTTCCATACCAAATTTCATCAAAATCTGTTCAGCTGTTTAAGCTACAAAATTTAAAACATCCATCCATCTAAATTTTCGCATTTATAATGTTTGTATTTTTAATCAAGAACTAAATGAAACATTATGAAAATCACATTATGCTAAAATTAAATTTATGTTAGTAATGTGTAGTAATCAGTGTAAACATGTTCAAATGTTATCAGTTATGTTCTATTTTTATATCTAAATGTCGTTTTATTAGACTTATATGTTTTTGATAAAACATAATAAGTTTTAATTATGTTTCAAGTAGTTTTGAGTGTGTTTGAATATTTGTAGTTTTGATGATGTCAAGTGATACTTTTTATATCAAGAGAAACTGTTCTGTTTGCTGTTTGATAATTAAGGTTCATTTTTATCTGAGTCTTCTAAAATTAATTTAATATTATAATTTCATATTTATTTATTTATTTAGAGCCACTCAGCACATGTGCTGATCGTCCGTGGCCATAAATATATTGCTTTCACCCAGTAGATCCAAGGGCCTAACATACTTCATGATAATATTATGAAGTAATTTGAATGGATGAATGTCTATACTGATATTATAAAGAGGAACGATTTGTATATTTGTAACTAAAAACATCTGGGGCAATTTCTAAAAGTCTGGCAACATTAAAAAGCTATGGCCATATTTTTACTAAATTTTTATTCCACGCGGACGAAGTCGGGAGCAACATCTAGTTACATATCTTTAAAATGGATTAATGGATCTCAATGGCTCAGAAGTAGATAATAAAAAGAACTCATGGGTTTACTAAGTTTTTTTTTTAATTTGCGTAGTATTCAAAAATTGATGCAGTACCATTCATGGGTCGATTGAGCGTTTCCATTTGTTGGTTACGTTATAATTTAATATCTATAGAATCTCCGCGGTCTACTCCATGAGCTATCAAACGAGGGCGCGCGGCGTCAGTTCGAGTCGTTCCTAGAGCGGCTGATCCTGCCGCTGATGGTGGAGTCAGCGCAGCGCGGCGACCGCGAGTGCCACGTGGTGGTGCTGCTGGATGACGACGCCGTAGACTGGGATGAGCAGTACCCGCCGCAGATGGGCGACGAGTACAGCCAGACGGTGCTCTCCACGCCATTGTACCGCTTCTTCAAATACATAGAGAATAGGTAAGTAGTTACCTGGACTTAGATCATACATAATTTTAAGGCCATATTTATAACTGGAATAACGTAATTAAATTAAACACTCAGGCCAGTAACTTTTGCGGGAATGGCGCGCTATTTGATACGTCCCAATGACATTGACAGCTGTCAGATAGGGACGTCTATGTTGTGTTGCCCTATTTTCTTAACAATGTCAGCCGTCATATCCGAATTCATTGCCCTCTTAAACATAGTCTTTTTCACTCAATCCATTTATTAATTTGGTCTTCTCTACCTTTCTAGCCATCACTGTTCATTCTTAACTCTTAATTCTATAATGTCCAGTGTGACGTATATCCAATAAAAAAAAATCTACTAAAGTGGTTTAGAGAAAAATACGTGAGAGTTTGATTTGAATGTGTTGGTAATATTTATTTTATTGCTGCAAAAAACGTCTAATTTAAGTTAAGATTGGTGTTTGTTGTATATTCGTTTTGACAGTGGGCATTGAATTAAATGTTGTCCTTTCAGAGATGTAGCAAAGCAAGTGATGAAAGAGCGCGGGCTGAAGAAGATCCGTTTAGGCGTGGAGGGCTACCCCACGTACAAGGAGAAGGTGCGCAAGCGGCCTGGAGGTCGCGCGGAGGTCATCTACAACTACGTGCAGCGCCCCTTCATCCACATGTCCTGGGAGAAGGAGGAGGCGAAGTCCCGCCATGTTGACTTCCAGTGCTTCAAGTCTAAATCCGTGACCAACCTGGCGGAGGCGACTGCTGACCCGGTGATAGAACTGGAGCCTCTAAGGGCCCGAGAAGAGGATGTACCGGAGCCCCCTGACGCTGCGGGGGAGGAGGACCAGTGACCGCTGGTCCGCTCTTCGCGAGCGCTACTAAGGATCCTGATGGCCATGTTTTGTTGGTACGCAGTCTAAATTACAATTTATATAGTCTGCTAATTCGGTTTTGTTGATCAAAGGTGTTTGAGGTCGAATACCTCAGTTTTTGTGATTCAATATCTAGGCAATGGCCCAATTTGTGGGCTTGTCTGTGCTGGAGATAAAACCATAAAAGACTTATATGTAAATGATTGAATAATATGCCATTTGCTTTGAAAAGCTTTTTGGCTCTGCAAATTTGTAAATTGTACACAGAGATGAAATTTCATCATATCAAAGCGTATGCACCAATAGTGAAAATTATCCGTTTTGTACGGCTTTTGTCGTAAATTCTAAATTGTATGGTACTATTTTATAAAGGTAGCTTTTGTAGCTTTGTTACTGCTGCCCTTGGGATGACTTTTAGCTTATGTGCTGCAGATATACGTACTAAACATTACACAAATATATTAAAGAATTTTTTACATTATTCAGACATCTTTGAAAAAAATCTACTAAAATCATGTTAAATATAATTTTGGTGATGGTGACAGTTAATAACTAATAAAAATAAAAAAACAAAACGATATACCTAAAGTACGTGAGAGTCAAAATGGCGGGTGTACCATAGCGAATTAAATTATACCACTTACGTAAAATAACGTCAATATGGCGGGTGTAACTTAATTTCGTTATACGTTCTAGAGGAGGTACAATTTTTTTTGAGCGAGGTACTAATTAGTACATTTTAGGTACTTTTTTTAGTAAGTGGTATAATTTTATTCGCTATGGTCACCCGCCATTTTGACTCTCACGAAAGTACAACTGATTTTGTTAGTGGTTATGTCATAGTGAAATTATAAAGCGATTTTTAGCTAAAAAAATGTAAGAAAATAAATGGCGGCCTGCGCAGTTGTAGTTAATATTCATGTAACAAAGATATTTGCAACTTTTTTAGAATAAGTTTGTATGAGATGTATTCCAAGGGGGGATTTATAATAAAACTGTAATTAAAAAATGGCTTTTCTTTCATTTCCCTTTTACCTTCTGTCATAGAAAAAGATCATAAAAACATTGAGTTTACATGCTACAAACCATGGTAATTTGTACTTAGATTTCGCCATTTCAACGATAAATTTGATAAACTCATCTTGATATTAATGACAGTAATATCTTTCAAATTAGTTCCTATTCTCACCGCCGCGACTGTCAGCGCCAAGATGGCGTAATTCAAATGTCCAAAATATGACGTCATATAACCTCCATTTATAAAGGTCAATATTGTGGTCTGCATAAAATGAAACAAAATCACCGCATCACTGTACTTTATTTAAACTTAAGCCAAACATAAGTAGCAGTGTTACTAAATACAAATAATAACTCTTAGCAAATAGGTACCTATCTAAATGCCTTCTTAAATACACGATATCTAAAAGTAACCACAAAATACGCTTAGAAAGACAAATTATATATCAATATATTACGAACACATGGCACGAGCCGAATGTAACCCGATAATTCGGAAATCTGTTCGTTGAAATTTAAAAATTATTACTGGCTTTTGATTATCGACAGTGTGTTGCATGAGATCAACTCTAATAGAAAAACTCTAACCTCTATTTTCTTACGTGAATTATAAACAATATTGAGATAACATCGTATATTTAGTACTTCGGTTAAATATTCTGCCAACTTTAATTTTTATTTCGATCGGAATTGGTATTTCGGTTTGTATACATTTGGTATTGCGACAAATAACAGGGGTTTCTAAGAAACTTTCACTCGAAATCGATGGGCGGTAGAGGGGGTGGTACCACCTCTGACATCATGCTTTCTGTTATCACAAACTTTGTGTCTTGAGAATCTGGAAGATAAAATATTCTAGTAAAACGCTACTGCTACCTGTAATATTTTTGCAACGTTTTTGATTCGGCAACGAAGATGTCACAATTAAAATGTTTAACATACTCAAAGACATTTACTGACGACTTAGCAGTCCTCTAGTCTACATTTCATACCAGATGAACACACTGATATACGGAACATCCAAGTTACTGGTACAAAGTAAGAGTAAGGTTAGGGCCTCACCAGTCGCTCTCGACGAAGATTGGGAGCGCTTGTAGAGTCGTTCTAGAATGACGCGCGACGGAGACAGCGGCCGCCGCAGCCGGCGCAGGCCGCCGCAGCATCGCTCGGCTGTCGACATAACGCACCTCAGTATGCTTTATGTCTTGTATGAACACCTTCAATGCCCAGTATCACTTGTAGGCACGGAACGTGTTAAATACAGGAAGTACGAGAGGTGGAGGTGGAGGGTAACTTTAGTCCTCCTATTAATTAAAGATGCAGATGCCGTTAGCGAACGATCACAGCTCGATAGGTAAACTCTAATCTAAACTGTAACTTGAGAATTTCGGATCTCAGATAAATAACTGGTAAGCCATTTAATCCAGTAGCGGTGATCCGATTGTCAGTCCTCTGAGCGTTGAAAGTTTAAAGCAACGTAAGTACAATAGTGATGATGTCGCTGGGCCGCACCGGGCGCGGGGGGCGCAGGGTGCGCGGCGGGCGCGGGGGGCGCGGAGGGCGAGACGCGGGGGTCGTTGCGGCGCGCGCTCAGACCCCCCGCCGCGCACGCGCAGCCAGCGCACAGCAAGCCACACACAGCCACGCCCCACTGCCACCAGCGCCAAGGGCAGCCGCCGCGCCCGCCTCGCCCCCACCACTGCCACCACTGCCAGCCCTGCGACTGAAATACTGGGTTCTGGAAAAACACAATGATTCATGTAGTTAACAATCATCTTCAACTTTCCCTTGTCCCTACGGAGGGTAGGCACAGTATGTACTGCACTCCCATACATTTCTATCAGCCGTCATATATGAAACCATCCCCTTCTTAAGCATATCCTCTTTCACACAATCCATCCATACTTTCTTCGGTCTTCCTCTGCCTTGGTAGCCATCCACTTTCAGTCTTAACGCTTTCTGATTTACTTCCTCTTGCTTCTCAATTTTCATGTAGTTAATAGTATCTGCTCAATTTACGACCACAAAAGACGACGACAATAAAAGTAAAGGTTGTCTTTGAATTTCTACGTCAAGGGTCAAAGTATTTTAGGTATATTGGTACGTGCAATGCTAAAGGAGAATATGTAAGGTACGTACATCGTACCTGTGCAGGCGACTGAGGCCGAGGCGGCAGGCGGCAGCGCCGGGCTCCGCGTGCGTGCCGCGCGGACACGGCGCACACGTGTTCTCGCCCGCCGCCGCACACGTGTTGGCCGGGCACACCGCTGCAACACGTCACAATACATAACCCTCCGCACATCCCTCCTACCGTTACCTAATGATTGACAATGCCAACTTCCGACAATTCCAACCAGCAATGATATGCTTGAATAATGATGCTTTTAAAGGAAGTACCGTAATCATCAAAAATAATCTTGCAAAGTATACACTGAAATTTATATTATATTATATTGTATTGTTTATCCTTAGATCTTCATTTTTTATCAAATTCGTTAGCAATCATCATCACCAACTCACTACAGATCCCTACTGAGCGGCTCGGTTAGTCGTGATAGCAATGGTTTAGTAATATACAGATATGTTACCACAAATCTTCTGGTCAGTTAGCAGGTAGTACCCAGCGGGGCATGCGACCACCACGTCCACGTCTCCGGGGGACATAGACCTCGATAGAACCAGGTACTCCCGATGACCGTTTGAATCTGCGTCAATCACATGCAGGATTAGTAAATTAGAAGAGAAGAAACGACTCACTTAAAAGCGACAATCAGGTAGTGTTAACTCACCTTTAGTTTTCAATTTCTTTGATATCGACATCTTGGGCATATTGCTGTCCACGGGGGTTAGTGTATTATTAAACTTGTCGTAAATGATTACAACTGTAACAAAGACACATTCCGTTACATCTATTACATCTGGGAGATACACCTTCATATCTGTACTATGCTATTACTTGACTGTTAGTACCTTTGACAGTGGTGAGTGCGGGCGCGTTGCTGGCCCACAGCAGTGCGATGGAGCAGGTGAGGTCGCGCCGGCACTCGGGTCCGCACTCGATGCCAGGCGGCGCCACTGCTGTTATAACCACCGTCGGCTTCAGCAGGTCTTCATTTTGCTGTACACACACACATTATACCAACACATTACACATACGATACTTCAAGAATATGGACATTTGTCAATGTAGCTAACTCGGGGTCTTAGTTGACACTAGTTTGAGCATTGCCACATCCAGAAACGTGATGGTATGGGTCTCACTTGTGTTGGCGCTTTAAACAGTTGTGTTTCCATGATTACAATCACTGACCTGATCTGACAGCGATATAGGATGGTCGACGCGCGCAGAGCTGGTAACGATGCCGCAGCAGTTTGCAGACTTCTGTATCTCCTGACCCAAGTTCTGTATGTTCTCAAGGTCCTATAAACAAGAATCATAAGATGTTTAATGATGTGAAATTATTGTTAATTTTGAACGATTAAAGCTACTAACAATAAATAATTTTATGTAATCTCCGACATACGAACGCCCAAAATAAAGGAAAAAAATCACCATGCCAATGATCTACATTTAGAAAAAAATTTAAAGGAGTATAAGCACAAACAGAAATAATAATAGACGACTTGTTACCTCATAAGTACACTCGCCGAGGCACTTGTAAAGCGGTGTAAAAACAATGTTAAAGTCGGGTATCTCTATGACGTTTACTCTCACACTGCGGGCCACGATCTTATCCTGAAAACAAATGTTTAGCATCAACAGTAATGCAGCAGTTTAGAGGTATAAGAAGAAAGTGCTTTGCACTGGTTTCTATGATATTTCTATTGATTTCTTGCCTGCGAGCACGTGTACGTCCCGAAGTTCCTGGGCTCTATGCCAGTGAGCACCAGCGAAGGCCCGACCACCTTCAGGTTGGGCGCGCTCAGCATGGACTTCCTTTCAGCAGTCCACGTATAGCGGAACATATTCGTCAGGTTGGACACCGAGTACACCGGCGTGCCAGACACGTTGCAGAAGATCGATATCGACTTGCCGCGGATCACGAATATCTCATCCTGGAGCATTTTTAGATAAGATACATTTCGGTAACATTTGTCTAAATAAATTTATAAAAAATATGATATACTGTGATAAAAAAATTACGATTCAGTTGTGTGAAATTTATCTCTACCTACCACTAACTCCCGCAGAGGAGGTAAGTTCGTCAAGCCGTTCACGACACTCGTCATGTCTATCGTTTTCCTCTTTCTTCTCTCGTTCTCTCTCCCTCTGTACACTCCATCAGCGCCCAGATACAGTTTGTCGTAGTCCTCCTTATTATTTCCCAGAATATACTGTATCTTCTCTACTGGGTACTTGCTTTCCATTCTTTTATTGTCATCATCGATATAATCGTAATCGACATCATTTCTATAAGGAATGTCTGCAAAGTTATTTTTAGTCGACCTTTTGCCGCGCACCCAGTTCCACCTCCATATCTTACTACCCTGCTCGTTGCCGTGTCTAGACTTCTTCGTCTTCGTGGTGTCTCGTAATTGAAAGATGGACGGCAGGTTCTTGTACGCGTAGCAAGTTATATTCTTAACGAAGGTTCTGAAGGATGTCGCCGGCAGCTTCTTGTACATGTCGATGACATGTATGATAGTTGCGTCGATGTCGCAGAGCGGCCCCCGCACGCAGCTCGGCTCATGGACCTCTTGAGAAAAGGATTGGTATTAATTTTTAAAACTTTCCAAATAAAAAATGAGCAGGTTTAATTATTTTTGTGCAAATAATTGACGTAACTAATGCTATGGTATGCTCTACATTGAAAAGTTTCAGTTATACAGAAACAAAATCTAGATTACTTTTTTATTTTATGAATTAAAGCAATTTGACAATGCGTGTACCTGCTTCGCCATGGGTTTTAGTTTTCTTAAGGTTTTCGTTCTGGAAAAAACATATTGTCGCAAAGTAAAGCAGTGGATATAACAGAAATCAATGTTTTCAAATTATCTACGCAATTGCATGTAAAATATATTGTTTTGATAGTTTTTGTGTACCATCTTAGGTCCATGTTGTTGTTGTTTGTTCACATTCTTGGCAGGAGCCGCTGCGCTTGCAGCGGTTTTGTTGACGGCGGCCTGAGGTACTTTCTTATCTTCTATGTTGTCACACGGAGACTCAGGTGGGCAGCCCGCCTCTGTTACTGTACAAGAAAAAGATCTTACTTTTTGATCTCACTTAATTAGTAGCTTTGTTTTGTTTTTCGTTTACTAAAACCGTATGAAGCACTCTACACATTCTCATTAAAATGTAAGCTATACCGGGGTTAGTGCTGTTTTCTGCCTCCGAGTTATTTTCGTTAGAAGCTTTGTTGTGCACCCGCTTCCCGTGATCCAACTTCCTCTTTAAAGCCCGCCCTTTCGGTCCGTTTTGGTGAGTTTTGGCTACCTTAGAAAATATTTTAAACAGTATTAGTTTTGTTACATGTCTCGTAGAAATATGTATATCCAACTAATCCTCCTAAATTATCGTTCTAGCATTAAAAAATAGATTGGTTTTTTATAATAATAGGGGGCAAACAAGCGGCGAGAACACCTAGGTGGTCAACGACGCCCATGCACATCCGCAACACCTGAGGAACTACAGATGCGTTGAATTGTAGTTAAGAATATCGAACTCACCTTCTCCTTTCGAGTTCCGGGAAGCATTTTAAACTTAAATTTATCAAGGAACTTGTCGAGTAACCCGTGACAGGGTTTAGAACGGCAGGTGTCGGGTGGAGGCTGTAATTCTATAGATGGCAGGTCTTTACGTATATCGTAGTAAGTGTCAGTCGTGGGGCTCGCTGGTGTCGCGTGATGCCTCGCGGAGGGTGAAGTTTTTGTCACCAATTGTGGCCTGTGTTCCTCCTGGTTATGCTTGTTGTACGGACTCTTGTTAGCCACCACTCCATGTCCCATATTCAAGGCGGTCACCGACTTACCGTCTTTGAGGTCACTTTCTTTGCGATTACCTTTAAGATCAGTTTCTTTATGCTGTTGGGGTTTCTCATTGGTCCTAATAAACAGAAATAGAAAATATAGCGACAGTTTGCTTTTATTTTTTATCACAAGAATAGAAATTGTATGTTATGGATATAGAATAAAGTTTCAACATTTAAACTGAATATAGCATTTAGTTTAGCATACGTTTTTATCAGACAAAATACTCACATGAAAACCTCAGAATGCAGCTGGAAAAATGATTGACCGTCGTCGTCTTCATCCTCTGCTGTTTTTCGCAAAGCAATTTTTTGCCACTCCTCGTTGAGTTTATTTGTCTCAAAATCAAGAATAGATAAAAGAAGTTCCTTATTGTCTTTGGTGACAGCATTCATTGTGGTGCCACCGAATAACAGTTCATCTTTTGACTGCGTGTTCTTGAGTGGAACTTTAACCAGATTCGGTTTAGGAGTCGAAGGCAAGTTGGTACTGGTAGCTGGCTCGCTTATTGTGACGTCTTTATTGTTAAGCTTGTGTGATTGAATGGCTGGTCGTTTCTTTGTAAACGAACTTCTAATAGTAATTGTATTGGAAGCTGTGGTGTGTTTGTGTCCAGAGATGGGGGTAGTCGCGGTAGTTACAAGGACGCGCGTGCCGTTCGATGCATCTAAGTAATTAATTGTTGATTCTTTAAGCCTGCTAAAGCTGTATTTTTGTAAGTTTTTACGTAAATTTTCCTCGTAATTATTGACAGCATTTGTAACCGAAATTAAATTAGCTTCCTTTGTAACATTTCTACCGTTTGCATCGAAGTTTTTATTATGGTATTTTGTTGTTCCAGCGGTCTGAATGTGAGTAGTTTTCTTACTACTTTGGATTGTTCTAACTTTGGCACTGAAAGGCTTTATTGCTTTGTACGGCGTAAAATTGTTTACCAGATGAGATGAGGGGTCCTTTATTTTAGATTTGAGCGGTTGTATAGAACTCATTTTCATTCTTTTTCTAGGATGGGAAACGTCCGACAGAACTTTTTTATAAAGAGTATAAGCGGCGATGCTATAATATCGATCTACACTTTGAACTGTGGCGTCGTCTTGATCGAAGTCAAATTTGTTGGAGTTTTCTGTAGTACTTGTAACATTTTCCGTTTTATTATCACTCAAATATTTGAAATTATCATCCAAGTTTTTAGCTTCGTCTGCTAATTGATCTTGATATTTTTTGCCTTTCAAAAAATTAAACCACCTCGATTCGATCCCCTCTTCGCTCAGTGGTGATTCTATTTGGTACTCATTTCTAACGTATCTCTTTTTCACATTTTTCTTAGCTATATTACCTATGGATGGTGTAACGTTGTATGGAAACCAATGATTTTTATCCTTCCTTTTTTTCTTCGGATAACCCTTGAGTGTTAGAAGAGCTTTGATTCCTTTTTTCTTAACATCATCTTTTACGTAATCTCCTGCGTCATCGTAATATAAAATTCCAGGTGTTGCAGTTAAATATGGCGGACCACCTAACGTCGAGTCAAATATACTCTTTTGAGTACTCTCCAGTTTATCAGACTTGCATATAATGTTGACATTGACATTGTCTAAGGAGTACACATTTTTAATACGTCTGTTTTCACCTTCGTTGGCTCTTTTATTAAATGATTTTAAATGCATACATTTTGTTATAACGTCTAGACATTTAGTACCACTGTCGAGGAGATTTTCATCGCCAATGTTATATTTTAAAGCCTTTTCTAAGTGGTCTGCTAATTTTTCTACATCATGAATCAAAGGCTCTCCGATGTAATTACTTTTGTTATCAGGGTTAACAAAGTCACGTTTGTCCATGTACATAAAAACTTTACAAGGACGTCCTTTACATTTCCCTGAAACCCTTTTGAAGTAGTCATATAATGTTTTGTCTATTCTATGCACAGCATCTCTTAGCTTTCTACCACCACTGGGATTTACCCAGAAGTAAGTTTGTATTTCTGTACAATGATCGTTCATGTATTGTGCCAAGTTATCTAATTCGAATATTAATTCTGATATGACGGCATCACTTGCAGCGCACGCGCGGCACATCGTGCGATTTGGTTTACAATGACAGTAACAAACTTTGTCATGGCCTATGTATTTTTTTATTGTGTCCCAATTTATTTCCCTTCTCTGTCTACGATGGTTTATCGTTGCGCTTCGTTTTAATTTTGTGTCAACTTTTCTAAGTTTTCTTTTATGGTCTTTCGTTGTCATTAAGTATTGATATAGCTCCATTAAATGTTTATTGACAACCGCTATAAAATCTTTGCTCAAAGTTACCTTGCTCAAATTATTTGGATTAGGTGACGTTATGCCTTTCGGTGTTACTATAACATCTGATAATTTATCTTTAATGTTGAAATCGGACAATAGTTTACCGCTATCAACAGCTTTTAAAATATACTGACCGTCAGGAATGGATTGATTTTCTACGAGAACATACAATCCGGGTGAAAGTTTGTCTGCTCTAGGTTTTATTTCATTAATGACAGTGAACGTGCAATTCTTTAAGTTACTTATATTTGGTATGTCTGTAGAATTTGTACTAGTTGTTACATTTTTAGGAGGAATAACAAATGCAGCTTCAGTAGGCACTGGGTCTACATCCTCAACTGAATGTATTTGGTACTCAATGTCGACCGGTGTTGACAATCTGGCCGTAAACACTTTTCTTATCCTGACTGGTTCACTGAGGGATCTCTTTTTATCTATTGAAATATTGCACGGGATAGCGATGTGGACTTGAATAGAGTTACTTATTCCATCACTGGATTTAACAAATGGTTGTGTCGCTTTTGTTGATTGTTCGGCAATCGTTGATTTATTTGCGATTTCGTTGAACGCTCCAACTATTTCGTTCTCATTTAAGTTTCGATTCTTCCGCATTAAATCTACTATTACTTCGATCGCAGCAACGTCTTTGGCGGTAAAAGTATTTTGTGATTTTACGTCGCGTTTCAAATGTTTATTTGTTGTGTTATTTTTTATTTTAGTTGTTGTATCAAATTTATTATCATCTTCGTTATAGTCCATGTCCGCAGTGTGGTAATCCTATTAAAAGTAATTCATAATTATTTTTTTTAATGAGTAAAGTTTAAAAGCGAGTGGCGGCAAAAATAGTAAAGTTACTTTAACATGACACTTACATAATAATTACTGGTGATGTATAAACTCTCTTCATCTAGTTCCTTCATATCCTCCGTGGTGAATGGCGTGGTGCTGGTTTTGGGCGAGCTCTCAGTTGTGCTGACCGAGCTCTCGGCGCTGACGGTCGGTGAGGTGGCGACGGTTATCTTCAGCGAAGGCAGGGTCGAGTTGATAGTTGGGCATTTGCTTTTCTTAGTTATTTCAGTGGTCGCGCTTGTTATATTCTCATTGGATAACTTAGCCATAGAAATAGTCGGAAGTGCATTTGTCAGCAAACCACCATTGAACGCTTTGTTTTCTATCTTTTTCGAGAATATTTTCGTTGTTATTATGACGAACTGAAATAGGATATGAGATATTACTCCATCCTTTATTAACTAAGGTTATTTTCAGAATTTGTGTTTTATACTTACACGATGGTCGCTGGTTTTTGTTTTAACTGTTTGTTTAGGGTTAAGTTTTGTACGCGTCGTGACCGGGGTAGTTGTTTTTGTTAGTTTTTCCTTCACGACGCTAGTTTGTGTATGACTATTAGTGCATTCAGTGAGCTTCATCGGTTTTTCTGTGGTCGTTTTCACTGGCGTGGATGGTGTAGTTTGCTAAAAAGAAAGGAGGTGTAAGTATTTGCAAGATCTATCAAAAATCTCCATCTCAGAAAACGTGGCACTGGCGTACACAGGAATCATGAAAATAAATTAAAATCTAATATTTACTGGACCAACCCAGCTGATTAAAATAACAGTCAAATCAGACCATACAAGATTAGCTAATAATTATTAAGACCCTATTCATTTATATTCCCTTAGTTATTTCAGATGAAATATGAGATACAAAAGAAATATGGTAAAAGATAGTAAACAGTTCAGTATACAAACAGGTTTATCTCCACGCTTCGTTGCATACGGACTCTTGCATAATGTAGTTTTCGCTGTGGTAGTTGTTGTTGAGCGGCTCGACTTTAGTGGAACTGTCGCTATGCTCTCTGTCCAAACAGACACATTATAAAATTTATTAAAAGAAAAAAATAGCCATGAAGAAGAATTGAGCGACAAAACATTAAATAAGAATAGAAAGGAAAAAATAATTAATCTGTTAATAAAAAGAAAGTATAATAGATTTAGATAAATAAAATATTATACTTGTAGTTGCTGTGGTTGTGGTCATCGATCTTCTGACAGTAGTCGAGGGTATAATGATTGGAATAGAATCGTTGATTGACACCTCGATCTGATTCTGTTCCATTGCGAACACAGACGTACCTAAAATTTAGATAACGTTAGATAAAAGTACGATGACAATAACATTTTGATTTCACCAATATTACCTTTCTTGAAGGGACCTCTGCGTGGTTTCACAGCAACAGCTCGCGGTCGACTCAGCTGTTTCAGATCGTATATGATGGTGCCCCGCCTCGGTTCCATTGTTGTTTTTTGTGATGCTTTTGAATCTGCTACTTCGTTGCGGTCTGGAAGAAGATGAAGCTGTGATTATCACTTCCGTATACACCTCTGTTTATACATATCCATATTATTGCTTTACTAAGTGGTTTTTACTTGATTGCTATCGTCTAGATTAAAAAAGCTTAAAAGATTAAAATTCCTTTCGTCAACATAAGTTAAATGATTTCCTTTGCAGCAGCATATTTAGCAAATATATTGTCAACTCCATAATCGTTTTTAAGGTTAATGACTGTTTGTATTGCTCCTAGTTGAATGTATTATAATTAACTATTAGGATGCACTTTACCTGCATCAGCACTGGGTATCCTCCTGATACGATCGCCTGACATCAAATCCATCGCGGAGCGCGGTTCGGCAACTCCACTAAAAAGTCCACAAGCGTTAGCACTCTCGTCCAGGCCATCCGAAAAACTCGGCTCCACCGTTTTCAGTATTCCAAATTTAGTTAGCAACTCTAGTAGAGCTATTCCCGACACATATTTCAATATGAAATCGTTCCAAATCGACTTTGGCGGACTAGGTAGCGGCGTGTAGCCGCTGCGCTTTGTGTCGGGCATGTAGTATGTGGGTAGGTCGATGTGTATCATTACGTTGGGTCGCGTGAAGTTCTCAACGGCCTCGACTACCCTGACCAATTCTTTTATTTGTTCATCTCTGTCGGAAGTGCAAGCACTCACTTTACGGATGGCTTGGACAAATCTGCCGAGAGCGGCTAAAAATCCTAAATGTCTGGAAGTCAACTATGTCAAGTAAAATACAACAATATAAGAAGTACAAGTACTTCCCTAAAATTCAGATCAAGTATACTTGGTGGAATTGTACTAGCTGTAATTAATGACATCGAAAAGGAGAGGTAGTCGCTGGAGTTATCATCGAATTTCCACTTTAATGAGTAGAAAGTCGACGATGTCACAATTGAATACGATTTAGAAGATTTTGGACTTTACTAAAGTTTCAAGAGTGGACTTAGTATATTGATATATTAACTTGGAATGCACTTTTTTGTTAGTCAAAATTATGAAACTTTGAAATAAAAATTGTAACAGCGTCACCTGTCTTGGTCGATTGTCATCTGACGCCTCTTACGTTTACGTCGTCTTTTTGGTCGCCGAAGCACATCTCCTGTATTAAGAAAGGTGGATTAATTTATCGAAAAACGTTCTAAAACTAGTTAGTTTTTATTCTTACAACTTACTGTCTCTTATAAATTCTTGTATATTCTTGGAATAAAAACCAGAGTTTCCAAATACTTTTAATCGCTGTGACGAGATATCTGTAATTAAAAAATCATTAAGACAAAGGTCATTGAATCAATGAATAAAGAAATACATTTAAAATGAAATTAAGGAAGTACAATTTATAAAAACCAACCATGTTTGCCGTTTCTTTTATCCTTTATTTTATTAGAAGCGATGTCATCCAATATAAAGTCATATTTCGATGTTTTTGTTGTTACATCCATTTTCTTTGCATTCGTGTACAGATCGTAATCAAAGTAATTTTTACTCTGCTTTGAATCTGAATGATCAATGAAGTCGCTATTTCCTTTGCTTGGTTTATACGCGTCGCCAGCTGTATTTTTTTCTTTGCCTAGTACTTCTTGTTTTTTATCGGATTTGGAATGATACAACAAGTTGTTGTGCACTAAGGGAGAGTAGGACAGCTTGTATTTGTCTGTTGTTGCTCTAGGACGACCGTCGTCCATTTTATTTATCGGTAACACTTCTGAGAACGTTTTAGACAGCTCTGAAATATTGATTTTTATTTTATTTTCAGTGGGAAAGACATCAATATATTTGTGAGAAAGCTTTAATTTGTGTTCTTGTAGATGTTGGTGCTCTAAGTTTCCAATATCTTCATTGTCCTCAAGTGTGGGACTATTAAGTATATCGTGAGTATCGACTTTCCCGAAATTGAGTTGATCTTCCAAAGTATCAAAAAAATATTCGCTATCTTCATCGTCCGTTTTAGCTGTAAAATTGACAGTGGATTCCGTCGACTGAGAATGTTGCCTACCAATATTTCTAAGAGGATTTAGTTTAATGTATTTATTAAAAAGTTCTGCACCTAGGTAGTCTAGCGTAGGCGAGCCTCTGTAAGGTTCTTTAATGTCTCTTTTGATCCTCTTAGCATTGATATTATTTTTAATATCATCAGTGAATCCATGGTTATACTTATTTTCTATTTCTGTTGCCAATTCATTATTAATATACCTACCCAGTTTTCTCTTAGGCGTTGCAGTGGTACTTTGGTTCGTGGCATGGGTTGCGTTCTTTGGGTCCAGCACATGAACGCTTTCTGTTGTCTGGTTGTACAGAATGGGATCTAACGCGACAACTGAACCTTTCGCTTGCAGATCAGACTTGAAACTGTCGGGCGAAGGAAAGTAAACAGGAGAGGTGACTGACTTTACGTCGATGTTGTTATCACGTAGGAAATTTTCAAAATCTTCATTCCTCATCGGCAGAGGCGTAGAGAAATGTTGCTCGGGGACCTTGTGTAGTTTTGTTAGTATGTTCACCTAAAACATTTATAACTCTCTGTACACAATTTTCAGAAATTAACAATTGGGGCCAAAGGCAATTAAAATTAAGCATCAATATAACTATTACAAATAGTAGACAAACTCACAGGAGATAATGCATGATGTGAAGTCTTTGCTGTAGTTTCTTCTGTAACAAAGATCATATAAATAAATGAGTTGTTTTATTCTACATGTCTGGTGTAGCTTGACAAATAATAAAATCTAAGACAAACGTACCTCGAACTTCTTTTAATATGTTCAAGCTGTCATCGTAAGCCAACAAGGTGGTGTCGAATAACATAACGTCGGAGGCAGTGGCGCTCTCTTTCACTGTCGTATTACCTAGAAAATATACACCATGTAAATATCTCAAATTTAAATATAGAGCCCTACTCCTATAAGCTGCTCGTATGTTTATAAGAATGGCACGTGACATTGCCACTTGACTTTCTAGGAATAAGAAAATGAAGTCGCGCAAAGAAGATTTTATGCCTGCACGGATTGAAACTTCTTAGGCAGCCTTAAGTTATTGATTACAGTTTCCTTACAAGCTTTCGTTAAAAATCTGTATAAAAACATCGTTGGCTAAGTAATGAGAAAAAAGATAATGCACCACCTATTATTTACCTGGATTAGATTTACTTTTAGCGGGATCTTCAATTTGAACGCTGTGCGTTACGAAGAAGCTGGGATGTAATATGCCGCGGTACTGCGTGCTCAGCAACCCGGGTACTTCTAGACGCACTTCACTCCGCGACAATGGATTCATATCGTGAGCGGCGATGTTACGTCGCCTGATTTTATGATTATCTTGATAACTCTTTTCTATTTTTTTAATTAAAAATTCTTCGTTCGTTTCCGCGTTCTTGGGAGATGTCTTGTTCATTTTAGTCGCCTGCTCAAATTGTTTTATTTTGCTCTTCAACTTCTCCCCGCCTACTGGTTTCTTGATGTCTAACAATTTGTCCAATCTGTGCAGTTCACTTTTCAGGGCCGTCATATCAGGTGGCTTGTACATATACGGTTGTTGGATGTTCTTTAATATATTTTGCCAAGTCGTATATTTATCAGAATCCAATATATCATTGTGCCACATTTCTAAATCATTTAGATAGTTGGGCGTCGTTTGATATCTTCTTCTCGAGTTTGAAAATTTCCTCCTTTTGCTGCTGATTAGTCTGTGTTTCTTCATCCTGGGAGACACCTCGTATAATGGCATCGTGACAAGCTGCGCCTGCCGCACAATATTGTCGGCTGTACTCGAGTTGTCCAGATTGAAAGGCTGGCTATCATCATTCAATTGAATATAAGAAAAGAAGTGAGATTCCGTAGTGGGGAGTATTCTGCTATGTGTTATTCCATTGTTTTTATATTTGCCTGTATCAATTATTTCGTCGTCGGAATTTATTGAACTTAAATAAATACGTTGTAGATTTTCTTTAGCCATTTTGTTTGGCCTCACAAGTGCTGTGAATCTTCGTATCAGATTAATGTCGTTTATTTTGTTTCTGACTGCCTTGTACGGCGATACTGCGTAGTCGTATATACCTTGAGTTGTGTAATCATTCAACGTCTTGACGGTTGTTACTTTAATATTGATAAAGTCAGCATCGTTGAAGTCCGGTCTATTTCGTGCGCTTCCAGTTAGCGTTCTGTAAATCGTGGATGTCGGCGGCGGAGTGACTTTCGTGGTCATAAGTATCGGACACGGTTCTAAAAACAAACGTCTTATTTTTAAACAATTACTTAATTCGAGATATTTTATATTTATAGTGTACTCAAATCTGAAGCATTTGTAAGTCTATTTTTTCAAACTTCTGATTCTTTGGTGCTTCATTTTTCGATTTTAATGTAAACTTAAAGGACCATGGTCAATTCTTTTGTGATTACCTCTTTAGAAGAAAGTCTTTATAAAATTAATATAAGGCGTATAACTGTAACTCACCTGTCATTACAGTTTCGTTACCACATGGAACATCGTTTTTTTCGACACAGCTAGTATGTGGGAAATATTTTTTCGGTACCGTGGTCTTGAAGGGCAGGTCTTTTGTAAAACTCTTTAACTTAGAAGATTCCGGGATTACGGTCGGTATATCCATCTTTATATCGTCTAGGTTCGGCGGCGGCTTGTTATACTTCATAGACTTGAACTGATTGACGTGAGTATCAAGCATATCGTAGTCGAACATTTTGCTCAAAACTACATCCGGCTTTCCATCGATTCGTACGTTAAACATTTTTTTCAATTTCTTTAATGGATTTAAACTCTTTATGGTTCGCGGTGAATCCCGCTTCTTTAGTATCGACTTTTGGTTTTTCTTATTTTTGTGAAATCGGAAACGAAGATGGTTTAAAAACTTTCTTAGCCTGCTGTCATGGCCGGTGTTCCTCAGGTTGACGACGGCGGTCGGCTGGGTCACCACGTTCAGGTCCACATACGCGAACTTGCCTGATTTCTTTTTCATTTTCCGCGGCCGGTCCGACGACAATTCTTTCAAGGCGTCCAACTCGAGATCTGGCAAATAACTGCGATACAGTTGGTATTCGTTATCAGTGTCGTCATTTTGCAAGTTCCGGACGGGTCTATGCAGAACACTTTCTAGCAGTAAGTCTATGTTGACCTCTGTGCTTGTGTTTTTATCATATTTATCATCATATTTTTCATTCCTATCATAAAGTTTTGTATTTACATTTTCGGCTATGTTATTGCTCTCACATCCCATCTTCAGACCTATCGTCAAAATTTAGCAATTAACTAATAAACCATATCGGTCAAAGCAAGAAGGTTTCTGTTCTTATTATAAATTTAAACAACAATAGATATCAAAGCAATGCAACTTTCATTCCTATTAAAATTAGTAATTTCCAACTTTTCTAATCTCCTAATTTTATTGCAACAAAAACATACTTGCATAATACTGATACACTGAATAGTGTAGTAAAGTTACGAACGAAATTATTCTTACCGTGCTTTAAAACTTTCTCCAATGCTGATGTTGTTTGAGTTTTGTACATTTTTAAAACGTTCGCCAGCTGGTCTAAGTCTGCGTCCTCGCTCTGCCTCTGCTGGTCGGTGGTGGCTATCAGATTGTCGTTATCGCTCATAATAGTGGCGCTACATCTGGACGAGTCAAATTTGTTGTTGCTTTTATTGTTTTCTGTAATCATGGGTCTCAGCGACACAGTCTGCGATGAATGGTACTTTTTGGGCTGACCAGAATCGATAAAGACATAAAAATGTTTCTTGAACCAAGATTCCTCGCTCTTGGTCGATATGTCTTGGTCCTCGGTAGTCTCAGCGGCATCATAGAACGCCCTCTTGTACCGCTTGGGCACCGTCGGCAGTTTGTTCAGTATAAACTTGCCGATGTCATCGACGCTGTGGTGTCTGTGCGCCTGATAACGAACTAAATTCGAGTAGTTTTGCACGCCTTGCTCCTGTTGAAATTTCAAGTAATGTTTGTAGCCGTTCACATAATCGTTGTAGTATAATTTTTCAGCTAAATCTTTAAAGTCGGTCGTCATAGGATTTGTCGGTTGTGTGTTGATTTCGATATTTTCAAGAGGCTTATCATTGTCCACCTCGGTCTCGTACTGCTCGTGCTGCTTGGTGTCCGCCGCCACGCCATAGCTCGCCGCGTCCTCCGACGTCTTTCTCTGCAAGTTAGTTAAAACTATTTCATTTCTACTGGAATTAGTTTTGAGCTCGGAGTTTCGATCACCGCTCTTAGTTTTAGAGTGTAAAGATATAGGACGTTCTTGATAAAAATCTTTTAATAGTAACTCAGACTTAGTAATCAGGTCGTAATCATCGTCATCGGGAGGCTGCGCTGAGGTGTCGTTTATGTCACGAATACTTCCGGTATAGTTTATCGCTGAGAACTTTTTGTAACGCATTGGGGAGTTTCTAGATATATCGTAATCGATAAATACACTTCTATTACTAGTGTTATCAGAGGGAGCGACGCTGTGGGCGCTGTTCGCGCTGTTCGCGCAGCCTCGTAGTTTATCGTACCAATATTTAGTTTCGTTTCTTATAACGCTCTCACTAACTTTAATTTCTTTACATAATTGACTTTTTACCTTTGTTAACGTTTTCTTCAGTTCGTCCACATTAACATAGTTTGATATGTTGCGACTTGTGTTTAAATTACGTTTCATATTATTTTTAAATGTCGCAGATTTAGTACTCCTGTAAGAGAACGGAATCATCCCGAGCTCGGTGATGAATCCTTTAGTAATAGTTTCGATTGCGTTCATTTTGATGTTGTTCAATATCGCTTCGATCTCGGAAGTTTCCACCATGTATTTGTCCATGTCCTCGGACAGTGGTGTTGTGAATTTATTGAAATTGTACGGCCCGTTGGGATTCATCATAACGGACATTAAACTTGTGTAAGGATCAGTCTTCATGTTGTATATTTCTTTTAGATGATCTAATTTAGTGGTCAATTCTGTCAAAGATAAATCATTGCCCTCCGTGAAGGTCTGTTGGCTCGGCTTCATCGTCGTAAATGGGAAGTTATTTCTCCAGGTGTAGTTATCGTTTATGGATAAATGTCTTTTGCCTTTTTTTAATTTATCAGTAGTTATTGGCGATTCATCACTGCTTACGGTATTTGCCCAACTTCTATTAGAGCTGTCGTAGTTTATAACTTTCCGCACCGTCTTCTTATCAAAATCACCTTGTCGTTTGTCCAACTTGCTTCGTTTCTTTCTTCTGCTCCGTTGTTTGAGCAGCAAGTAACCTTTGTCGTTGTCCTTGGTAATGTTATCTCTCTTGTCAGCTTTCACCGGGTGCTTCTGGGCCCTCGGAGCTGTGCTCTGTATCCGAATTCTCGCCATCATATCGTTGGAGATGAATTGCTTCTTCTTCTTCCCCTTTAGTCTGTCTATTAGTCTTTCGAAGAAGCCTTTTCGTTGCGATTTAGTTACTAGAGGTTCATTGCTCTTACCTGTTACTTGCACATATCTAGTTACATTAATGTTATCGGAAGACAAGAGGGATGAATCTAACTTGGTGTACTTGGGTGTCCATGACTTGTGGAAGTTGATGTCCTCCTGGTATCCATTCCTAATGTGAAATCGATTCTGTTTAACATCGTGTTCTTTATCGTTTTCTAAATCATGAATACTGTCGATTACATTGATAATTTCATCATCCTTTGCGATACTTTTAGATATTGTGTGGTTTTCAACAAGCACCATCAGGTAAAACAAGCTGGAAACAAGGAACTAATTAAATGTGTATTATAATCTTTATATGAATAAGAAACTAGTTATATAGACCTATGATTGCACAGACAAGACACGAAAACATTGTCAGACTTAATACAGTATCAAAATTTGTTGCAACAAGTATATTTATACGCCATAAGGATTAAATGACTTCCAAATACGAATTCTAAGATCCCCTCCCCTGCCCTGTCACCACCATATTGTGAAACATTTGAAGTAATATTTTGTGGTACATATTTACTGTGATCACTGACGCGATATTTCAATGTTATACTTTAAAGAGTTTATCGTAAATATGCATATAACTTATTTGAAATAATTACTAGATTTACGCCACATTTTTACCCACGTATATCGTTTGACACCTTACATTTGGGCTTAAAAAGTTAAAATCTTACTCACCATAAAAAATTGAAAAATAACATTTGCTATGTACTAAGTAATCCAAACCGAGCATGATACCATAAAATAAAGCTAAACTTAACAAAATAAACCCATACCAATACTTTTACAACTCTTTTATATAAATTGCAGATTGTCAATAGTTTTGCAATTGTTTTGTTCCGTGACAGCGTCAGTTTGAATTACTTCTTTATGTCACTTTGATCGCTTCTTTTATAAAAAGTATTTATGTTATCTTCTATGTAACGCCAAGGGCGAAGACACACGAGCGACGACGCGTCAGACATAAGAAGTTTCTTTAGATCAGTAAACTCGACTGCATTCTGAGTAGAAGTTTAAACAATCAATGTTGTCGACAAAGGAAAGGATGAACAGAGAGAGGATATTTCCCTTTACGTATGTATCCCTCTCCAAATCCCTTCCCCCTCCCTTCGTGTGGAAAATACCTTGTATAAAAAGTGTACAAAGGGGAAGACTTAAATTACTATAAACGTAAAAATACGTTAGTTTCCTTGTAAAAAAAATTGACTATATTATACGTCTCTAACATTGTCATCTATCTTACTTAGACCACAAACATAGGCCTTTAGTTCATAATTATTTTTAACTTTTAAAGCTATAAGGGAAAGGGTTAAGACCCAAGGTAGCTAAAAAGGGTGTAAAAAAATTCATGTTAATCAAAAATTTATTAATTTAAATTACAACTAAGTTTATCATTGATACTGCGGGTTGACGTAAATGCCGATATCGTAGCCGAGTGCCTTTCCACGCTCGCTCTTCATGCGCATGTTGACGAAACTGTGCCCCACGCCGCCCGCGGTTATGTTGATGGACGCCTTGCTGTGCAGCGTGTCCAGCGCCTGGATTCCCTGCAAATACAATGGATAATCCTGAACTTCTCCCGTTTTTATATTGGCTAGTGTAATCAATTAGTGCATTACGAATTCATTTATAAAATAAAGTGTGTGTGACTTTCAGTTATCGGCCGCGGGAGCTCTAAAGTGCAGAAAGTTTTAATAAAAGATTATTATTTCAGGGTTCTCAGAAATCTATGTCATTTCAACTTGTTTACGAATATATTTTGAAATTACTATTTATAAAGTTAAAACATAGTGATTTTTTAACTCCGTGGTCCAGAAATATGTTGTTTATTAATAGTTTTTTTTTATAACATAAGGTGGCAAACGAGCAAGCGGCTACCTGAAACCACCAAAATGGCGAAGCGACCGCTGCCCATAGACATCCGCAATTGCAGATGCGTTGCCTACCCTTATACGACGGAGGAGGAGACGCACATAAAGAGGTTATTTCCCCTTCCTATGCATCTCCTCCACTGTCAAATCCACTTCCTCTTCCCAACCTCTCCTTATAAGAAAAGGGTGGTAAAGAGAAAGGGACTTAAATTAGGCCTCCGGCACCACACTCATCAGACGAAACACGGAATTGCTTCCACTTCACGCCTGTTTTCTGTGTGGTCGTGGTATTACACCGGGCGTGCCGGCCCATTCGTGCTAAGATGTTAAAGCGGGCACTACCACTATCAAAATAGTTTCTCAACATTAGTAATAATAATATAATATATTACTATCAGATAAATTTCCTTTCTAATAGTGAAGTTTTTTTTTTTTAATCAGCCCAGTAATTTTTGAATTATATCAATACATACAAAAATATATCTTTCCTCTTTATAATATTACTTTGAGATATAGATGGTACTTTATACAGCTAAGATTCCCGGCAAATGTTCATCTACACGTGTGAACGTCCCACAGCTTTGCGCCGCTCATATCCGGCGCTTGTTACAATAATACGAGTAAAACTATAGAATGTTATGCAACAATCAAAACGGAATATAGTAGCTATATACAACTCATTGTTTAAAACGACCTGAATCATCTAGATATCTAAGCACTTCAATGAATTGTGAATAATTGAAAACATTTATCATTACTGAGGACTTCCGACATGTTGATAAATATATATTCGTCCTTAACTGACGGGGCTATCTATTATATCTTTATATATATATAAAGGTGGCAAAAGTGCAAGAGCGCACCTTGATCCGCTGACGGTCTGGCGAAGTATACGCAATTGCAAATGCGTTGCCTAGCCTTAATCAACGAAGGCGAAGACGAAAAAAATCAGGATATTTCCCCTTTTTATGCGTCTTTTCCATCGTCAAATTCACTTTTCCTTCCCACCCTTCCCTCTTAAGAAGAGGGGGGGAAAGGGAAAAGGACTAAAATTAGGCCCTTTCTGGTGTAAGCAATAGTATATTTAGATTGATAGCACGAAAATTGGCTAGAAAGTATCGAGGTCAAAAATTTCTATGAAATTTTATTTTTGTCAATGTCGATAAGAGACACGAAAAACTTTAAATAGATATCAGATATACTACGAATCATACAATTTTATGCTCAGTTGAAATATTAACTGAACAGTAACTATCAGTTACAAGAATAAACTAATAAATACAGCATGATTATTTTTTCTTAAAGATTTCAACACAATTTATTATTAAAACTGATAATTGCCAGTTCTGAGTACTTCGGATATCGTTTTCCTAGAAATTTCTTCGCCTATTTATGATAAAGCGGTTAGTTGGCCATTTTACTTACTTTATAGAGGAAAATGTAATTAACATAATTTGGGTTAATTATCGGTTTAATTAAATACAACATAATTTTCAAATTAAAGTAATAAAATATTCGATAGCTACTTCACTTTTTTTTGGTTTTAAAAGCATTCGTTTAGGCATTTTTAACGGATCTGATTTGTAAAAAGCTTGGTCATATAGTAAAAATTATGGCCAACAATTTAAGAGACAAAACGTTTATAATGCCAAGACCATCGACTCAAATTAAAATGAATTCTATTTTAATAGGTTTAAAAATAATAAGAAAGGGGAGCACATTTCAGTACTCCACGTTGATCTTGTTGGCCATAAACATTCTTACAACGACATTGTTGCGGTCGTTTTAACTCCTGTTTTTTATATTAAGCTTTATGGAGTTTATATTAATATAATTGTGTTTTTAGTCATAAGTATTTACATACCTGAATAACTTTATTATCTGGTGACGAGTAGAAAAAATATTTCACCCTTTTGATGAATGGTATTGCGTTGTACTCGACTCTCTTGTGTTCAGCGAGGACCACTCTGTTCGCAGTGTTGCCTATCACGAGGTGGTCACCGCCCACACACAGCAGTGAAGTGGTCAAAATTGTTAATAAGATTATGGTCTTCATTGCGAAGGGATTGTGCGCCTGTCACTCTGGTCTACACGATTGTGCTCGATTATCAAAGGTCGCTTAAGTTTATCTTGGGTTTGAATAGGGTTGCCATGTAGGGAGTTTTTGCCTACTTTTTGTCGGGTAATATACATATTTTTAAATTATGTTTAAAATATCTTTGTTTTCTACAAAGAGTGCTGTCCGAAAATAGATTATTTTTTTCATAATTTAACTTAACGAATTTTTTAAAGTGTTCAATTGTTAACGAAAATGTATCTATTTGTAGATAATATTGAACTTATCTGCATATATTTAACATGTAAGCCTAAAGCCTTAACAGAATTTTAAGATAAAATGTCATTGTGGAGATTAAAACATTGGTATAGCAACACTGGCAAGTAATAACATTTAACATTACGCATCGCGCTGTGATCTAATATGTTAGTCAGCTGTACAATACAATCACAGTCATAATATATTCATTCTTAGATAACACAGGATGTTACAAACGTAAAGATAGTTATAGAATTATATTCCCTTCCCACTTAGATTCAATATCTCACTGTCAACATACGAACTAAAATACACTTTTTGTGTTGCTATTATGAAAAGTTTTGATAAATTTATTCAGCATAAATTAGTTAGTAATTTTGCGTTACTGCGTGTGTCATTTAGCTCTGACCAAAATTTCAGGTCCAACAACTAAATTTGCAGTTCACCGATCAAAGTGTTGTTTGTAACTATGAGTCAATAAGCTGTGAACTGCCAGTTAACTCAAAACTCTCATCATAACTATGCAGGTATACCTTGAGGTTAGCTGTGAGCTATTTCAGTGGTCTGTTCCATAAATGGACCGTAAGCTGATCTACAGATCAGCTACAGCTCATCTATCTTAATTGAGTTACCATTTACTGGTATTACGATCATATTTGTATAGGTTTCGAATGTTCGTTCTATTTATAAACGACTCAATCAGCTTATATCAATATTGTATGAACCACTTTAGAGATAATACTTGTCGAAGTCTATACTAAAATTATAAAGAGAAGATTTGTATCCTTGACTTTTTCTATGTATTGGAAAAACTCTAAAACTAGTGGGGCGATTTTAAAAAATCTTTCACTGTTAGAAAGGTTATTTATCTGTGAGCAACATGGGCTATATTTTTTATTATTTTTTTTATTCCATGACGGAGAAATAGCAATAGTAATAAATAAATAGAACGTTGTAATCATAAATCTTTATTCAAGAAGGCCGTGTAGTCGTCCTCTAGCGTGTGTAGGTGTGCGTGCGCGGCGAGCAGCGCGTTCTGGCGGCGCAGGTTGTCGGCGAGCGCGGCGTGCGCGCGCGCGGCGGCGGCCAGCTCCCCGCAGCGCGCCTCCAGCTGCCCCCGCGCCGTCTGCTGCTGCGCCGACAGCGCCCGGCTGGCGTCCCGCAACTCCTGTCGGTTTTATAGTAAGCATGGTTTGGGCATGTTATGGGGATAAGTTGCTTATAACAAGAAAGACGTCAGTTGTGAGTTTACACCGCTAAAGGCAGTGGTAGAAAACTGGATGGATTGCGTGATATGATCTAGAAGGACGTGATGACTGAGATGACGTATGATAGTTATTAAGAATTAGAGAGTTTATGAATATAAAACATGAAATTAAAAAAGTAAGTGAATTAACATAACTTACTAACATTAACAGAAAAAATAATAGTTCTAAACGTACATCGCTTTAATTTCTGCAATAAATTAGAAGGTTGTAGATCTTCCCTACGTCTATTGAACAGAAGAGCGTACGAAAAGATGATATTTTATGCAAAATTCACCTCATTTTTGACCGACTTTTTTTTGTATTAGAAATCAATGGGACGAAACCTTGCCGAGCACACCATAGGTTCAGCAGCTATCATTGCTAGAGACCTTACTAGTACTACCTTCTCCGCCATCTTGGCAGTTTCGAGCTGTCGTGTGAGGGTGTCGAGGGCGCGCTGTTGCGCCTCCCCCCGCCCCCGCAGCGCCTCCGCCCGCCGCGCCGCGCGCCGCGCCTCCCCCGCCGCGCTCCCCGCCTGCGCCACTGCCTCCGACCACTGACGCTCCTTCTCCTATATTGTTCATCGGTACTATGCTGGACTAACAAAATAACAGCCCGAGCCGAGGCTCCTGAGGAAGCTTTCAAACTCATAAACGAGGTTTAGGCTAAGCGTTTTCTGCGCTCGGCCACCTCAAGCCCGGTGAAGCTGTAAATGCCTCTTCAAGGCAAACAGTGACAAATCAGTCTCAAAAAAAGCACTGCGCTGGATTGACACAACACTAGACGTAGAAAAGCGCCCCATTCTGGCGTGATCAGTATTTCTGAGTGTTTAATTACGCTATTTACAAGTATATTAATCGTCCAAAAATATATTACACTCACTGACACACGCAGACTCCATTATTGGTCACGTGAGCAGACTTTAAAGGAGATTGTAGATACAAATCTACTAAATTTACACCAAAAATATCGTTTAACGATTGTAGTAGGAAATCTTACTGAAATTTAAAGTTCAAATATTTTAACCACCAACTAAACTGCTGAAGAGATGTTTATAAAATTTGATATAGATATAGAGGACAGTCTGCAAGAACAAATAGGCTACTTTTTAATACTGCGCGGAGTCGTGTGCGAAAGCTAAACTAGAATTACAATAAAACACTTCCAACATGCAATATTTTAAAGTCTCTCACTTCTAAGTTAGCCTGCAGCGCGGCGCACTTAGCTCTAGCGTCGGCGGCGGCTGCGCGCGCGGCGGCAGCCTGGCTCAGCTGCGCCAGCCGCGCGCCCTCCAGCGTCGCCAGCTGCGCCAGGTGCCCCGCGCACTGCGCACTCTGCAACGCAGCCCCGCACTAAGCTACCGTGTGTGACGTCACAGGTCACAGACAGAGGTACAGGCGCGGAAATCCGCAGTGTACAACTTTCGTAAATATTGCCTTGTTCCTTGCACGACAATCTCCACTTTCAAACTAATTACCAATTAGGTGGCAGTGAATTTGTTTATGCGAAGAAATATCAACAGCTAAAGGAATTACGTATAATAAAATATGTATCACTGACCGAGTTTTTTTTTCATATAAACACGTACAAAAGCCTATCTTACTAATCTTACTAATATTATAAATGCGAAAGTTTAGATGGATGGATGGATAGATGGATAGATGGATGTTTGTTAGCGTTTGTAGCCTAAACGGCTGAACGGATCTCCATGAAATTTGGCACAGATTTAGAGCATAGTCGGGAAGAACACATAGGCTACTTTTTATCCCGGGAATAGTTAGGGTTACATATCTTATTGAAATTTGGCACAGATATACAACAAAGTCTGGAGTACACATGGGATAAGCTTCATCCCCGAGGTGTCCGGTTCCCGAAGGATACGTAGCTATTTGTAATTTATACAGTTCGTATGTTTTCTAATACTACGCGGACGAGGTGCGGGCAATAGCTCGTTAGGTAATATTAGGAATTCCTAAGAAGGAAGTAAATTAACTCAAAATGTAAGTTTTTTGGGAAATTGCGTTTGCAGTTTCGCTTGTTTACACAGGAGATTAGAGATGAGAGAGAAAGACGTTTTGCTATCTCTTTTGTTTTCATTCTATTGTGACGCTTGTCGAACTAGTCATATTCTCGCGAAAATGATGTCGTTTATAATAAAAAGTAAAAAAGATGGTTATATCCTCTTATGACTAAAGGTGCGATATGATTAATATTTTACACGTTCAGATTCCCTGATTGTACCTGCTTATCGAGAGCTGCCTGCATCTTGTCGACCTGCTCCTGTAGAAGCTTCACCTTGGCCGCTAGGAATTTGCACACGCGTTCCACAGACACACGCTCTAGGACATACCATAAATAATACAAATTAACATATAAGTTATACAATTAATATTGTGGGCGATTGTCGAGTTTGATATCAAAATGTCGAGGATAGAACGAAATGGACATTTAACTAAGAAGCTAAGCCCACATTATCATATTAAAAAAAATCTAGGAGGAGAAAGAGAAAAATCGAAGTTTGAATTTTTAAATGTTTAGTAGTAGTCTCTTTAAAGAATTAAATATTTCTAACCGTTTTAATTTATTTGCCTACTCCTTAATTTATCGTATAATTTAATCAGCGCCATCTAACGGCGATCATGAGCAACTTTATCAATAGTATGTGACTTGTGCTAAAGTTTTTTTTTTAAATTATTGATTAAAGATTGGATAAAACAAATGGAGATTTAAAAAAAATATCTGTTATGTAAAGAATAAATCTGGGAAGTACTACTCTGCGTTTTAAAACAAAATATTAATGTAAAATAACTATGGTAGCAATACCACAATCTGAATTTGACTTTTAATGAAATTGTGGTATTTGTAATAAAAAATCAATGTTTTTAAAGAAATTTCATGTCGAGATAATATATATAATACATCTAAAAAATTAAAATAGTAATCTATTAAAACAGTTGTAACAAAATTTATTATTTAGTTAACCTACTGAACATTTCTTAATAAATTCCATATTTTAATTTCTTACTAGTAATTACTAATATGTTAGTTTGTTATATCTTTGTTATTGCTTATATGCATAAGCACTGGAAATAATTTCAGAATTAAATATATTTATTATTCTTACCTTTCAAAAATGTTTGAGGCAATATCTTGTCATCAATATTAATAGAAACAAAGGCATGTAAGAACTCTATATCATTATTTAAAGAACCATTTTCATTAAACATACAATTATGACACATTTGTACTGTATTTTTATAGTAATTTTCAGAGATTTCACAATTATTTTGTCCTGTCTTTTTCATTTCTGTATTTGCCTTTTGGTGATTAAGTCTCTCTTTTTCTTTGTTGTTTAGTATTGGGTGGTTAAGTTTTTTCTGTTTATCTGCACTTTGTGGGGTTAATGTTCGTGTATCACAGCAGTGTTTTTTTATATTTCTAGGTGAAGGTGTTAATTTTAATTTATGTGGCAGATCTGCAAATACATCTGGTTTTTGCTGAAATTGAGAAATAACTAGATATCGTTATGAATTTATAGGTAATGTTAGAAGAAATTAAAAAATATACCATAGCATGTTCTATTTCCTTCATAAGACTTTCTGTTTTCTTTTCCAACTCCTTGTTTAGTTTTTTAAATTCATTTTCGCGCGCTAAAAGTTCTTGCGAATCCATCTTTGATGACCTGTTTTTTAAATATTAATTTCCTTGTATTTTATAATAGTTTATTTTTAAATTAGTCACCTTTTTATTTTACTTTTCAATACAATAGATGACAAACTTCAATGTGTTTACATTTTCGAACGTTACTATGGTAACAGTCAAAATAGCTTCCATATTCATTAAATTGTTCAGTCAAATAAGAAACATATTTTAAAGAATACTAACTAAATTGACATTCAAGTTTCTGCAAATCAGTTGTAAATTATAAACCTCAATTTAGAAAAAGATGTTTACATAAATCAATTAAATTATTATTCTTAGTAAACTGTTGTTGATGAGAATGTGCTGCCATCTAGTGTTAAAACGTAGAATTAACAAAGCGTCAAAAACAGCTGTGCGCAGTCCAATCAGGACAGGCCTGAAATGTCAATAGAGCAGTGTTTTTGTTGACATATCTCTTTGTTTAACATATGATCTCAATTGAAAAAACCTCGAATATATTTTGATAAATACCATTCTAGTATTGTAAAGTATGCTTAAAAACCAGTAAATGTTCATTCATTTCTATAAAACAATGCGTCTAAATATCTTAAAACTAAGATTTAAAGTTGCGTGTGCGAGCGAGACGATACGTGCGCGAAAGAGATGAAGGAAAGTTTAGAGGTTGTTTCACAGATTTTCAATCGATTTACGAATGAGAACGTTCTTGGGCCAGCTGACATTTTTTAGTTCATTACTAAAGCGGGCGGTGTGTAGACGCTCGCTTTACGTTACCGCATCAATTATTGAAAAAATCACATTTGGACAGCGTTTGCTCGTCCTCGGACACATTGTGAATAGTGCAATAATGTATTTGAAGAGAAAAAGACACGATTTTCGTAGTGTTATATTATAGCGCAGGTGTTCCCTATTGGAGTTAGACGAAAACGCTTGCTGCTAAAAAGGTAATCATTGTTTTATTTTTAAATGATGCATGCAACATGCAGAGAAATGGCCGAGAGGAAGTGGTCAATGGAATATTCAGTATGCATTAGTACAATCGTTTATTCCATATCGTTGCTGGTTTTTAGAAAGTTTGACAGATTTACCAATCGACACTGTAAAGCGACCATTTTGTGTTGACATTGAACCATATGGGATGTCGTTAGTTCTTTGTACATTATTATTTGTGAAGGGTATATCAATATTACATATGATTTTATGAAATAAATAGGATAGTAGATAAATAAAGCAATGAACCTAGGATTTAGATGTGTAATAAATTAAACCTGTCAGTGTCTTTAGTTTGCAAACGTGGTAAGAATAGAATCAGCTGTTCTCTGATATGTTTTAGAAATTCAATGTCAGGTAAAAATTGAAGTATGAAGGTGGATGAATTTTTTTTTTAGTAAAAGTACTGGTTCAAGCAGGTATTATGGATTTTACAGCTGTTCGTTCTAAACGTCATGCGAATATAGTCCTTATTATCAAGAGCTTTGGTTTAAAATTAAACGATTAGATTTAATATAGTGTGGCAATACTCTGAATTCAGCCTGCAATCCCTTCAGACCTGTTCTAGGGATGGGCTTGCTGTTATCGATTGATATACCGGTTTTTAAATAAAGAATTTTACAAAACCATTATTTCAAAATAAATTATATTTTATTGATATTGTAACCGTCGTATTTATTGACTATTTAAGATATTTAATTATACGAAGAATAACTTTTCTAGTGACTATTTTTTTAAAACATTCAGGTTGGCTATAACGATATTTTTCTGGTTGAAAGTTTCTTTTATAGCGTTACGTAAGCAATTTTATTGGCACTCCATCGTGTTAGAACTTAGAGCTATGTAGATGGAAATAGTTTACACGTGCCACTTTAGTTACAAACGTACATAAACATTTAAATGTACATATTTAAAGTTTTTACTATTTTACAAATTCTACGCTACGATTGAATATACAAATGGACGTTTTTTAACTTAACTGGTATTGGCGTTTTCAAATAACTTGGCTTGCAGTTTTCAAATAAAAATATGTTAAGCGGCTACCTTCGGTGGTTACACAGTCGCCATTTTGTTTAACTCACAGGGTTGTAAGTTCCGAACACACTAAAATGAAACATCAAAAATAGGGATGTCCTTTATAAACCGTACTTTTTATCGGATAATTAATTTCGTTGAATACAATAACTTATAGAACATTAGTTAATTATGGCCAATTTACTAATTATTTTGATACATATTACAAATGCATTATCGGTAATGTTGTTGATGTTAATATATCGTAACTAAATGATAACGTGATTTATGTTTATCGATGTATTACGACTCGTATCACCTTTGTGTAAAAGTCAAATACATTGTTAATTATTAATCGAAACGGTGATAAGTTTAACGAGTGATGATGGAAGATGAAGTTTAATTTTGTCTTTACATTTGAATAAACACTATGTATAAATGGTTTCCTTGTTTATGGTAAAACCATGGTCGTGTGTTATTGATCGATGTGAGTTTTTTTTAACACGCTCAGTCAATAAAATATGTTGTTCAAACTATATTAATGTGGTTCCGATATAAAACCGATTTCCTTTTGTTTTTATAAACATATTACATATCAAAAACTTCTCGAAAGATTGTTTACAGAGATTGGAATAAACCATGATTGGATGTTTATTTTTGTCTCGATTAATATTTACTGTATTTTAGTTTGTTGAATTAAAATCTACCGAGTTTTCCTTTAACAGGCACGTGTTTTTACCCTCATAACTAATCTGTCGCGGACCGCCCCGCGCTCTAGAATTTAATTATAATTGACCTTTCCGCCAATCGGTACTAATCTAACACGCGTTATGTACTGTTTTTACAAACGTTAGTTAGAATTTCCTGGATCATTGACACTTATAGTTGATTATATGTTACTTTCTTGTTAATAAAAAACTATAAGTTTTTTGACAGCATTAAAGGCATTTTGACAACAAAAACAGGGTTTCTACCAGACAAGTCTGTTTGTCATAAATCTTGTTAAAATACATGTGAAATTGGAAAGTGGGTAGGACCGGCACTTGTCTGTCAAGATGTAAACAGTTTATTTTGATCTGTTGGGGAGTGGCATCGTTAGACAAGTTCTTGTCACAAGACGGATAGAAAAACAAACCAATGACAGCAACATCCCTTTAGTCGGTCATAGTATTTGTTCAGAGCTACGAACTTTATACGCAACTGAGAACTTTGTCTGATAGGTATTGCTAAAGTAAAGATGTTATTCTATCGAATGATGGTGACCCTTAAAGTTAAGGTCAAACTCAGAAGGTGCTAGGTCAACTCACGTACTTCATTGAGTGTGTAATTCAATTACTTGGTTAAATCCATAGGGATGCTTTTTAGTCTGTCGATAAATTAATGATATCACGATATATTACACTTACAATATCGTCATACTAATATTATAAATGTGAAAGTTTAGATGGATATATGGATGGATGTTTGTTAGAGTTTGTAGCCTAAACTGGTGAATGGATCTCAATGAAATTTGGTATAGATGTAAGGTACAGTCTGGAAGAACACTTAGGCTACGTTTTTTTTTTATTACCACGCGGAGCAAGCCGCGGGCGAAAGCTAACACATAAATGTGTTTTAAATATAAATGTGATAAATATAGTAAGCTCTTCGTAAAGTAACCAATGAATCTATTTACGCGTCAACATTTTATCGATCAATGCTTAACGTAAGGAGTAATTTCAGTTCGTCCTGTTCTTTAAATAACCACTTACTGGATGTCGATAACCTCTATGCTTATTTCCATCGCCTTTTTTTTCTTTTTATTATCGCATACGGACATATCCGTACAAAAAACGTCTTCACATTATTAACCTTAATTGTTCTGGAATAAGGCATTTCGGCATTTATTTGTATAATTGTTGGAACTTTAATTATTCTAATTGAGAAATATTAGTTTTTTAAAATGTCATTATACTAGAATTTTCAAACATATTTTTTGATTGATTTATTGATTCCCAATGAAATTCATAACAATTATTTATTTCAGTCTTTAATCGTTTTGATTGTTTTTTTATTTATGAATATGAGAAACTGTTATATTAAGTTTTATCGTAAATGTATCGTAAATTTAAAACCGATAAGTAGAGACAATGTCACATCACTAGCCTAAATTTAGCTCGCTGCGTACAAAGTCGTAGCCCTTTGCGGAGGTCCGTAACCTCGACGCTTCGAGTTTTTTAACTCGCTTTGCGGATCTCTTTTTATTTTTTAAAAACTAGTTTACGTACGTGACCTCAAGGCATTGTTAGTTTTTTATATTGTGGAAATACAATGCGATTGAAATGAACGTTTAATAGCTTTGTTTTTTTACACACAAGACCAAGACTTTGTATGTAGATGACATCAAATACACACGGTATTAAGTCTTATATAAAAATTAAAATTAATACAAGTAGAAATTGATTTTTAAATATGATTAATTTAGTCCCGGCGTCAATGAAAATTGACCGCGAGAAGTTACGTAGAAAATCTTCTTTGTTACGAAGAAATCATTTCTTTTTTATACCAGGAGAGCATAAATACAAAGATGTATTAGATACTACAGTACTTAATGGACCGTTCAACGAACAATAAGCGGGCGTGTAGTTTTAATAAAGAATGTGTGCCAGCAAACGGTAGGGGGAGGGGAGATTGCTGACCCTCCCGGGGGAGTGCGAGGAGGTGCTGCGCTCCCCGTGCAGGATAACGGTGTAGCGGTACTGGCGCACCCTCGACGGCCATATACAGCTCCCGTGGCCCGCGATCTATGTCTTAAATGCAACAAATTGTATTTTATGCTTGCCTGGTAATTACAACGGACACAATTAACTGAGTTTTTTTTATCAAATATCCATTTTCTTAGAATTAATACAGTTAAGTCCTAAGTCCTAAACTAATTCTTTTATTTAGATGACCTATTACGTCTAACTACGGTATGCAAATGAGATTGCTATACGAATAGTTCTTCAAGGGAAATACCGACGTGTATGTTTTGTTAAGACAACAAACAATTGCGTAAGATGGCCATCAGACAATGGATTGCATCAGACGGTGCAAATTTCTGGAGTCTGTTGTAGCTTGCAGCTTGCTGTG